CCAGCCCTGAATGTTGCAGCTCACAGGCAGGACCTCCCTAAGAGCACACCAACAGTGCCAGTAACCCTCCTCACCTGTTCTGAGATGGAAATTACACGGGCTTGAGAGGCCGTCTGCCTGTCTGTCGCTAAAACTTCACACTCCTCTCAGACACGTCACAGATGCGAGCCAATTCTCTTCATTTTCAAGCAAGACAAATAGCTATGGCCCTTCCCAGTGCTTATGTCCTCCAGCATTTTTTTGCCTTGTATGTTAATGATATGGGGAAAGCCGGCCCAAAGTAGCAATTCCAGATGCCCGGGGGAGCATTGGGCCCAGAACTAGACAACATTTGCGCAGCTTGGGCCCAGTCCTAAACAAAATCAGACCACAAGCTTCCACATTTACTTCCTTTCCTGCAACTTCTGCCAAGTTCACAATAAGACCTCACTCCATCCAGATTCCGTATCTGTGACACAGCCTGAGCCTTATCTCTTTCATGTTTCTTTCACTTTCCTTTATGTTTCTGTGGTCTTTGCTGTTTCCTGAGCATCACGCTGCAGGGCTGCGAGCTGGACGCAGCCTACATGGCACCACCACCATGTGCGTGCTACAACACACTTGTGGATTTGGGCAGCTGGGGTGTTCCCGGGCTGCTGTGTGTCTGCTCAGGGTGCTGTGGGCACAGCACGCAGGTTCCTGTTCGTTCCCTTTGGCCAGGAGGGAGGGCGGGAAGGGCTGCTGTCCTGCCCCATCATTTGGCACTATGGAAGCCAGTGCCTCCCATGCTGTGGCCCAGCCCCACACCACCCCATACCTCCACGCCACACTCGTTGACCGGGTGGAGGAAGAGTGGCTTGCGGTCAGGGCAGAGGTGAGTGTACTGCTGGAGGAAATGGTCAGCGATCTGCAGCAGCTTCTTTTCCTTCAGGGAATTTGTCTTGTACGAGGATGGCAACTGGGACGTGTCAATGGAGCTCCAGTCAAAATCACTTCCAGGGCAGGAGGAGGCAGACAGACACAGGTAATAAGACAGGAGCAATTCAGACAAGATGACCTGCTATCAAAACACATCAGGGGCTCCCTGTTTCCCAGGGAAAAAACAGGGATCATATCTGAGGACATGATTTTGACATAGCAAAGGTTCCCTGGAGTGATGGCAAGCTGACATATACCCAGAGGCTCAGGGGATCTTTCTCTAGTGTCATGATAGACCAGCAAATGAACGTACAATGGAGTTAGTTACCGTCTTACTCACACATACCCACTCTGGGACAAACACACCAGACACGCAGAACTCGCTCCCTCCCCTCTGCGTGCAAGGGGACCACACCTGCCATCCGCATGCCCCAAAGGGACCGTCTCTGCTCATCCCAGTAACAGGCACACGTGACTTACGGTACATCACTTGGGACGCAGACTTGCTCTGAGGACACCTTTGTCTCCAAGTCCTGGAGTTTAGTGCAATTCTCCAAAGCCTTCAGCTCTTCTTCTTCTCTTTGCTCTTCTTCCTCCTTCTCCTCCAGGACTTCCATTCTGCCTCCTCCTGGGCACTACAGAAACACAGGCACCAGGAGGAATTCAGGGGTGAGACCCAGATACACAGTAACACAGCAACACTGGCACTCTGGCCACAGCGATTTAGTACGTGAGCACGGCTCACAGACACGTGATTCCCATTTCTGTGACAGTAAGGGGTGAGCACTGAATGTGAGTTTGGGCTGGGCTTGGTGAATAAGCGGCTGCACACTCCTGGCCCCCCGAGCGTGGGGGAGACGGCAGAGCCTGGCTTGGTAGGGCACAGCACACACCCCCGTTCACTCTGCGATGCTGCTGTGTCCCCCGTCGCCCGTGCCCGTGTAAATGCTGCATCCCGCG